GGACCACAGGGACCCCCCCGACCCCCAGGGACCCCCGGGACCACAGGGACCCCCCAGGGACCCCCAGGGACCACAGGGACCACAGGGACCCCCGGGACCCCCGGGACCCCCCAGGGACCCCCCAGGGACCCCCCAGGGACCCCCCAGGGACCCCCAGGGACCCCCCAGGGACCCCCCAGGGACCCCCAGGGACCCCCGGGACCCCCCAGGGACCCCCGGGACCCCCGGGACCCCCCAGGGACCCCCCAGGGACCCCCCAGGGACCCCCGGGACCCCCGGGACCCCCGGGACCCCCCAGGGACCCCCCAGGGACCCCCGGGACCCCCCAGGGACCCCCGGGACCCTCAGGGACCACGAGGGACCACGAGGGGCCTGGACACACGCGTGTGACACACACACACACACACGTGGCACACACACACACACACACGCTCTCACACACTCACATGTCATACATGTCACTCACATGTCCCACGTGTGTCTCACCTGCACGCCATGATGCCGTGTCTGTCCGCGGGCGCGCCCATAGCACCGTGCACGCTCCACACACACTCACACGTGTCAGATACACACACACAGATGTCACACACACACTCACATGTCACTCACATGTCACTCACATGTCCCACACATGTCTCACCTGCACGCCATGATGCCGTGCCTGTCTGCGCGTGCGCCCATGGCGCCGTGCACGCTGCGCACACACACACACGTGTCAGATACACACACACAGATGTCACACACACATTCACATGTCACTCACGTGTCCCACACGTGTCTCACCTGCACGCCATGATGCTGTGTCTGTCCACGCGTGCGCCCATGGCGCCGTGCACGCTCCACACACACACACACGTGTCAGATACACACACACAGATGTCACACACACACTCACATGTCATTCACATGTCCCACGCGTGTCTCACCTGCGCGCCATGATGCCGTGCCTGTCCGTGGGCGCGCCCATAGCACCGTGCACGCTCCGCACACACTCACACGTGTCAGATACACACACACAGATGTCACACACACACACACACACACTCACATGTCGCTCACATGTCACTCACGTGTCCCACGCGTGTCTCACCTGCGCGCCATGATGCCGTGCCTGTCCGCGGGCGCGCCCATGGCGCC